ACAAGAGTGCATATTCTGGCTTTTGACAGGTTGTCACATTAATGTGACTGGACTATATATATATATGTATATATAATTCGTTTGATCTTGACAAAGGGAAATTGAATATTGAATTATTGTAGCCATGCCTCATCCTACTCACTGGCACTACGCACTACGCACTGGCCCTCTGTGGCGTTCATGAGAAATTGTCAATTGGCTTACAGACACCCACATGGAGCGGAAGTAAATTTCGAGTTTTCGGCTTAGAAGTGGAATTCTTCCACAAATCTATAATTATCTGTCTTTAAATGTGCTAAATATGGTATGTTTAATTGTATGTGTGTGGTGTTTGTGCGTGTGTAAATAAAACTGTGAGCTCTCCAACCTGTGCCTCAATTATTTTAACCAAACCCCACCCTATTACAATCTGGTTGTCCAACCTGCGCACTACAATAATTATATTATAAATCTAATAATTATTATGTCAGTTGAATATAATATTTGGTAATTTTCAAGTGAGGACAAAAAGGGTTTGGTCGTTCTTTTCTACGTTGTATATTAATAACACTAAAGTTTCGTAAAATTGCACAAGTATAATGATTTTAATATAAAATCAAAACCTAGAATTTATGAAATTCTTAATATAATTAGATACATAAAAAGATATTTACAATATTCACCATTACAAAAAATTGTTTATATTTTCAAATTTTTTATCTTTGACAATATTTGGATTTTTTTATGCTAAGTTTACATTTATAAGCAACAAATCAGATACAGCACACTTAAGTTAAATGAAAATCTTTCTATATTTTAAAAAGTCAATGTAGAAAAAATTATTAATTATTATCATTATTAATATATTATTATTGTATTAAAAATTCATAATTATAAGTTATTATTATATTAATAAATTATTATAGAAATAAATTATAAGCTATAATTATTTAATTTAAACCATTTTAAAGGAATAATTTTGATAGAGGTATATTTCAATTCTTCTTTTATAAAGGCATAATTTTTTGTTCATTTTGTTAATTGTTAAGTCTTATTTATATTTTAGTTTTGAAATTATTTAATTATTTAGCATTTTTCAAAATAATATTTTAATTTTAGTAATTATAAAATTATGCCGTAAATAAACTTTTCAATGTACGAGCTCAAAAATTCGTAGTATGTAATGAAAACTTATATGGTAATCAGAAAATGAATTTGATATTTATATAAGAGAGAAAAGGATTTAGAATCAATTCTAATTTACAAATGGCAACATAATTTTTCATGCGAAAAATTCTCCACAACAATATGTTAGTAATTTTTTAAATATATCTTAATGATATCAATTTTTAATTTTCTTCGATATATTAAATTCCTTATAAATACTATTAAACATATTTTTCACTCAAAAAGTCTACAGTTAGAATTAACTTTATTTCATTTTAATTCTCTTTTAATATTCCAGTAAAAAATTATTTTATTATTATTATTTATTCACATGCAGTGTATTACTTCAACATTTAAACTATGTTTTTTTTAAACAATATTAAAAATAATTTCCCTAATTCAGGCATTCAAACAATTCCTTCATAGCATTTTTTAAGGCGTTTATTTTAAGCATCCAAAAACTCTACAAAGAAAAGTATTCAAAAATGGTTTAATGGACTAGAAATTGTGTAACATTGCAAAAAAAGACATTTAAAGAAGATAATTACATTTGATGGAAACCTTTAACTCTTTTGTTTGTTTTCTCACTTGCCACTGAAATAACTGTTTCATTGTTTCTCACTGAACAAAAAACTTATCTTTCTGATGTTAGCTATTAAAAATACTTGTATAAATCCTGAATTTTACTTATCGTTATATAATTTAAAATAATTGATTATGTATTTATTAAAGTTTGTATTCAAATGATTATTTGCTGGACATTAAATATGTTGTTATTAACATAATATTTAAAATTATTAAATAAATAATAATGTGTATGATAAGTATTTGGACAATTTTCAATTTTTTAGTTTATAATATTTACAATTTTTCTTTTGATTAAATGTAGCTTTCAAAATTCATTATTTTCTTCAAATATCACAATAGGATTAAAATACAATTTGATTTTTTTTTTTTACTTTATTATCTGTTAAGTGTTTATTTAATTAAATCTAACTCTATTTAAATTTGGTTCAGTATTCCTTTTAAAAATATATTACATAGTAAATAACTTCTTAGTTTTAATGTAAAATATATTTTAATTTAGTTATCATCATTATAATTTTTAATTTAGTTATCATCATTATAATTTTAATTTAGTTATTCACTCTCGCTTATAATGTTATTTAGCATTATTTTATTTACTAATAGCACTAATTAAAGTAATGAAATCTTCGTTTAAAATAATAATTAATATTTCTGAAATAAAACTTCTTTTTTTTCCTTAAAAGAGATGTAAAAAAAAAAAAAAAAAAAAAAAAAAGGACTCATAAATTTATCGGATTTTGTTATCTTTTGGGAGCATTAAAATAATTAATTTTTACATGCAATTAAAATCTCACGCGCTTTTCAACTAGAACTTAATTAACTATATGTAATGCTCTAAGCCTACTGTTTGAGTAACCAATAGAAGAGCGTCACCTCATAATATTCAGAGAAAATGCGGACCCACGAGTATTAAAAACTTATTTGTTCAAAAACTTATAAATTTAATCTCGCTTGATGGCAGCATAAAATCCGCAAAGGATAATGAGGAAAAAAAAGTGTCGCACAGCTATTAAAATGTCTCGATTGTTGGAGACTTATTGAAGTTTCTATTGTTGATGCAACAATAGAAAGAAGCAAATAAAAAAAAATTCGTTTGTTTTCCTAAAAGCTGCGTCTGTTTTTAATTGATTGAAACCAAAATAATAAAAAAGTGCTTAGTTCAAAATTATTTTTTTTGTTCATCAGCGTCGGCGTTATTACTTCTTATTATCCGATAAATGTCGCTGTTATTATTGCAAAACTCTCATTTAGTAATTTACGCAGAAAAAAAGTTAATAAAACATTTTCAATTAAAAGATTATACTGCTTTGGAAATTGACGTTCAAATATTTTTGTATTTATTGTATTGCTTTAAAACTGTTATCATTGGATTCTTAATCAATAACTCAAACAGAGGTGCAACTTGTTTTGTCGCCATTGTTCTTTTTTGTCTTCAAATACTAGATAATGTGAACTTTCCTCTTCATCATTATTCAGTTGCGCTTTGGTATATGTTTTCTTTTATGTCTGGCAAAAAAAAAAAAAAAGGATTTTTTAAAGTGCATTTTTATTTAAAAAAAAAAATCGAGACAAATCAATTAAAATGCATTCACGCAATGTCATTGTTATGAAAATGGTACTTGCATTCAGCTTTTTTTATTATTGATTCTCCAACCTTCATCATATTTAACAAAAATTTTATTCTTGTCCATTTCTTGTTAACCACATTTTTTTTTTTTTTTTTTTTTTTGAATATTTATTTTGCTTAAATGCATTAAGCACTCTATTTTTTTCATTTATTTCCTTCTAAAAGCATACATCTAACCGTGCTACGCATTTCATTTTATAAGTATTTGCACTACCGAAATATTTTAATGAGTTAATTTGTTGATCACATATGTGAATTTCTGAAATTACAAAAGGGGTATCGTATTGTTAAATTAATAAATATGTTGAATAAATAATTGTTTCTATTACTTTATGGATATAATTTTTTTTAATTTTTGGAATACTTTAATGAAATGATTTAATATTTAATTTAGAACAACAATTTGATTAAAATTCAAGATATGGGCTGTTGGATTACGCGATATTTGAGTATTGGAAAAAAAAATTTCAATTTTAGTTTTGGGTCACTTGAAAACAGAGCAGTGTTTTTAACTCCTTCAACAAAAATTTGTAAATATTATTGGATGGACTTCTGGATTTTAATTCTAGAAAATAAACAGCTGTTCTCTATGAAGGATAGTTTTGGTATATGAAAGGGTTCTCAAAAATATTCTATTGTGAACCGATATCAATTAAAATTTTTTGATGACAATGAATAAAGAATATATAAAATATACTTTAAATAATATATGATTTCGTTAAGTATTTTATCATATGTTTATAACAAATAAATAATAAAAATTATAAGCTAATAGGGGAGGGAAGGGGGTGCTGATGGCTGAGTGAATGTCGCCCTAATACTCGCTGACACAGGCTATATGATTTCAAGTCCCGGCAGTTCCATGGATGTTTGTAGTAGTTCGGAATCCATCCTAAGCCGTAGGACCCGGTGTAATAGGACTGTAGAATGCTGGGCGTTGAGCTGACAGCCCTACCACTTGCAAAGAAAGCAGCTGCTGTCTCGAAATCTACTAGTAGGCAGACGGTCTTAGCCCACCATGGGGCTGTTGTGGCAAAGAAGAAGATAAATTAATTGTAATATAAAATTAATATAATAATAAATTTTAAATAATTTTCGTAAAGTTTGATGTGTATGTTTTTTCAAAAAGCATTAGAATTTATAAATAACTTTATTAAAAGTTTCATGCCTTTTTTATTTTTATAATATTTGTAATAAATAGAAACAAATTCATAAAATGATATTAGTATAAAACAGAAACGTCCAAATATCCATGCATTATATTACATAACGGGAACAGTTGGTATATGATACGATGGATGAATAAGGTCTGAATTTTGCGAATATGGTGTTGCTGATGATTATAGCATTTAAACTCAATGATTTTGCACATTATGTTAATAGGATTCTGAGAAATTTAAGGGAATTATACAAAATGATTAAAAAGTTTTCTTTTTACCTAAGTTCCATACTATTGTTGTCTCGAAATATCTATTCAGCGGAAAAACCGAAATAATTCAAATTCATAAATAATACATATTACAATATAATTATAAGCATATCAAAATAATTAAAATTTCATACGCATTATTATTAGCAAAAAATAAAATAATTAAACTACATAAATACATATCTAGCTATATTATACAACAAAATGCAATTCTCGTTATATCACCGAAGTTAAGCATCATTGGGCGCGGTCAGTACTTGGGTGGGTGACCACCTGGGAACACTGCGTGCCGTTGGCAAATTTGGGACCTGAATGGCCGAGTGTCTAGCGCTCTGGCGCTCGGTGCCACAGGTTTCGGGTTCGAATCCCGGCGGTGCCATGGATGTTTGTAGTGGTTCGGAATCCACTTTAAGCCGTAGGTCCCGGTCTTTTATGACTGTAAGAGCGTCACGGAGCAAAAGTCAGGCTTCTACCTACGGGGTGCTCCATCACAACAGAAGCTGCTTCCTTCCCCTTCAATCATGAGTCCATATGGGCCTGTGGGCTTGGCCAGCCAAGTGGGATAAGAAACAACAACAACAACAACAAAATGCAATTAAAATTTCAATACCAAACTCTGAGAAGAATTAAACAAAAAAAAAAGTACTAAATTGATAAACATTATGTTTCTGTTCTAGTATAATATAAAAAAAGGCTTGGTTAAGTTAATTTTTTTTCGAAAAGAATGACAAATAAAAAATATATACCTTTGTCAGTTTCTTATAACGTTTGTGGCTTCATAGGCATTTATAAAATGCAAAGATTTCAAACGCATGTTTAATCCAGTAGTTTTTTTGCTGTTTTTGTTTTAAGTAATTTCGTTACATTTAATTTAATCAGTGTTCCTACATTGTCATTTAATTGCTAATCTGCATATAAAATTAAACTTATGTTGAACATGAAATGCAATAATTGAATAAAATCTCTGAAGTTTTCCCGTATTTCTGAAGTCATTGCCTTCGCAATCAATTTTAATTGAATCTTTTATCATTTTGTTGGTAAAGAATTCTTATTTAATTCACTATTTTGGTTTTCCAAGATGTAGATATTAGATGATATATTTTTTTAGCTATTGGGACAAAATGTGTTTTTATTTAATTTAAATATCTTTGAAAGACTTTCTCCTTTTTTATTTCAAGATTATGAATCTAACATTGAAAAAATCCCATATTTACTAATTTAATGATCAGAATTTAGGTACTAATTTTTATTTAAATATGTATGTTCCAAGAAATTACTGGATAGTAAAATGAAATTTAAATAATTTAATTGCAATAATAATTAGATAATCACGGATTTCAAAACTAAATTAAATAATGTTTAAATAATAAAATATTTCGCTTAAATATATACTTAAATAAATAAAATATTATATTTAATTTCTTTATCAATATTTCAGATTTTTACATAATATTTTAAGAATTACATATTGATGAAAATAATATTGAACAATGTAAATAAAAATTAACAGAAAAATTATATAAATTTACGATTAAATAGCAAATAAAATAAAAGAGATTGCTTGCTTTTTTAAACATGAATAGATTTGTAATTTACTAATGTAAGTGCTTTTAAATAGAAATCCAAATATTGCATTAATAGTCAAAAGCAGGTATTTTTTAAACTTAAAATATTCAAAATGTTATTATTTATAGTTGAAATTATCTACTTTTGTTGATAAGTAGCAAAAAATTATAAATATTCAATTACGTACTGGAAAAATAATCATGCATTTGTCTAGCAGTCGTCAAAAAAATATGTAATCCTTTCTTAAAAATTACTTTTAGTTCTGAGTTACAAAGACATTTGGTTTTGGTTTTTAATTTGATTGTAGCCAAATAAAAAAACTCCTCTCAGCTTTATACATATTTGGTTGGGGTATTAATTATGATCCTTTTTTCTACATTCTCAAATTTAAAATCATGAATTTCAAACTAATCTGAAATCAATTACTCTTAACTTTAAAAATTATAATTATTAACATTCATTAACAAATTCTTAGTGTTTTGTTGTCGCTCTTGGATTTTCATTTATTGAAGTCGAATGAATTTTTAAATAAAGCAAATTCAGATGAATTAATACGATTAATTAAGAACGAAACCATTATTGAATCCCCTTGTCAAAATATCTGTCTGCCTCATCCTTTAGAGATTGCACATCACTTCAGCAATGTGAATTATTTGCAAAAACAAAGAATATAGAAAATTATCTTGGTATTCCAAATAAAAATAAATTCCATACTATCATTTTCATTTAATCTTATTTGTACCAATTATAATAGTGAATTATGGATGTCATTTATTTAATTGAAAGTATAATGAATACTCAATATTTTATTTAATATTACAAACATTTTTTGTTGTCAGACAGACATCATTATAAGAAGTTCCAAGAAATTTCACTTTAGAATAACAGTGGAACGATGTCTTTCTGATTGCTTAGTAGAATGTACTCGATCTATTCACATTTTTAAAATGACATCAATACATTTTTAATGACATTCGTCTCTATACTGAAGTACTTAATTTCTGTAAGTGATTTTCTGTCTATTTCCTTTCGACAACTCTCAATTGAAAAACGTATAATTATCAACTTTTATAACACATGTCCACTCTGGCGATGATCGTTATAATAAGTGTCTTTTTATTGGATGTAGTGATTATAAATGAATATAATTTTTAATTTCATAATTAAAAATTGCTTTGATAATTGCTCTTAATTTTATAATATTCGCTTTGATTTTTTTTTTAAAACAATTTTGTAAACGAAAAGAGACTTGAACCTATTTATAAAAAAAAAACTTTTAGTGTATGTTATGTATGCTTATCAGTTCATGCACTGAGAGGTAAGGTATTTCTGTAGGCCTTTTAGAGGTAAATAAATGTGATATTTCCGTGACGTACAGGGAAAATTAATATGATTTCCATAAAGAAGCTTAACCATCGATGCAAGGCTAATTACACACATTGTCAAAATCACCATCGTATCACCTGGTTTTTAAATGTTCTGCACATTGAAATGAATTACTTTCAAACTGAAAATACCGTGTAATGTTCTATTATTCGATTTCTTATTGCTAACTTGTTTCTTTTGTCCATTTGCGATAAACTCGTATTTCAAACGTACTGGTACATTTAACAAAATCTTCAGTTTTCAAATGGCATCGTGAGCTTATTAGAATTGAGTGTATATGTATAGTGCATTTGATCTTGACAAATGGAAAGTGAATATTGGATTAATATTGCAGCCATGCTTCCTCCTACGCACTGGCAAGAAAGCCCACTGTGTCATTCATGGAAAATGATCAATTGGCTTATAGACACCCACACGGAGAGGAAGTACATTTCCGGTTTTTGACTTAGATGTAAATAAAATAAGAAAATAAAGAAGAATTGAAACTTTTGATAAAGTTATTTATAAATTTTAATGTTTTCTAAAAAAATACATATCAATCTTCACGAAAATTATTAAAAATTTATTATTATATTACTTTTACATTACCATTAATTTATCTTCTTCATTAGCACGACAGTCCCATAGTGGGCCAAGGCTGTCTGCCTGATGGCAGATTTCCTGCAGGAGATGCTTTCTTTTTACGCGGTGGGATTGTCAGTCCTACTCCGAATCTTCTAAGTCATATTAGACCCGGATGTATGGTTTAGGGTGGATTCTGAACTACTACGAACATTCAAAGCATTCGGAATTTGATCCCGAAAGACCTGTGGAACAGAGCGCCAGACAACTTGTCATTCGGCTACCAGGCCTCTCTATAACTTTATAATGGCCATCAGGCCCCACTAAGAGTTTATACTTTTTATTATTCATTTAATATAAATATATGAAAAAATAATAAATTAATTTCAAGAGTTGACATTTTATTTAAAGGTTATTTTATAATTTTTTTTATTTAGTGTCATCAACAAATTTTAATTGATATCGGTTCACAATAGAATATTTTTGATAACCCCTTTGATACACCGAAATTGCTCCTTTTGTAGAATAGTTGTTTATTTCATAGACTTAAAACCAAGAAGTTCGTCCAATAACATTTAAAAATTATTTTTAAAGGAGTTAAAAAACCCGCACTATTTTCAAGTCATTTAAAACTAAACTTGAAAATTTTTTTTCCGGTTCTCAAATATGAAGAAATCGAACAATCCGCATCTGGAATTTTAATCAAATTATTGTTCTAAATAAAATATTAAATCATTTCATTAAAGCATCCAAAAAAATGTAAAAAATATCTATAAAGTGATAGAACCAATTATTTATTCAAATTATTTATTAATTCAACAATACATATCTACTTTGTAATTTCAGAAATTCACGTATGTGATCAACAAATTACCTCATTAAAATATTTAGATAGTGCAAACTTTTAAATTGCTATGCTTTGCAAGGTTAAATATATGGTTTTAGAAGGAAATAAAAAATTTAGAGCGCTTAATGCATTTAAGCAAAATAAATATTCAAAATAAAAAAAAAAGTCTTGAACATGAAATGGACAAGAATAAAATTTTTGTTGTACGATAAAAGTTGGAGAATCGATAATAAAAAAAATTTAATGGTAGGTACCGTTTTTTATAATAATGACGTATAGCGAATGACGCAATGTACTTTAATTGATTTATCAAGATTTTTTTTTAAATGGAAATGCCCTTTAAAAATATTTTTTTTTACCAGACTTAGAATAAAAGAAGCAATATACCAAAGCGCAATTGAATAATGACGCAGTGGAAAGTTCACATTATATAGTATTTGAAGACAAAAAAGAAAATGACAAAACAAAACAAGTTTACCTCTGTTTGACTTATTCATTAAGAATCCAATGATAAAAGTTGAAAAGCAATACAATAAATACAAAATCTTTGCTCGACAATTTCCATTGCAGTATAAACTTTTAATTGAAAACATTTTATTAACTTTTTTTTCCTTCATAAATTAATAAATGAGAGGTTCCGCACTAATAACAGCGACATTTATCGGATAATAAGAAGTAATAACGACGACGCTGATAACCAAAAAAAATCATTTTGAACTATGCCCTTTTTTTTTATTTTCGTTTCAATCAATTAAAAACAGACGCAGCATTTAGGGAAACAAACGAATTTTTTTTTATTTGTTTCTTTCTATTGTTGCATCAACAATAGAAACTTCAATAAGTCTCCAACGAGCGAGACATTTTAATAGCTGTGGGACACTTTTTTTTCTCATTATCCTTTGCGGATTTTATGCTGCCATCAAGCGAGATTAAAT